ACCCCTAAACCATATATATTCCTATTTGTCATGTCTCGAACATTTGATTGACGTATACGGTCAGTCCCCAGGGGTTCCCCCCACCCCCAATGTTCTAATAACTTGTAAATGGTTGAGATCGCCACCCCTAAACCTTATATATTCCTGTTCGTCATGTAATGAACATTTGAATGACGTATAGGGCCAGTCCCCAGGGGTTTCTCCCCACCCCCAATATTCTAGTATCTTGTAAATGGTTGAGATCCCCACCCCTAAACCATATATATTCTGGTTTGTCATGCCAAGATGATTTGAATGATATACAAGGTTAGTCCCCGGGCATCACTAATGCATATAACTTTACTGGACCAAACCAATTTTCACTGGACGTTGCCCAATGTCAGGCGACCCTGGGAATTACGAATTATGGGAGCTTCGTTTGGGAGACTTCGTAACAGCATCCTGTTACAATCATTTCTTGTTTCTATTGACAGTAATGAAAAAGCCTGAGAATTATGAACGCAGGTCATTCTGGGTTAAATATCCGAAAGCGAGAGATTTCCGGAATTTCGCAGTATACTCCCGCTCAAAACGGGAGTTTTGGCAGTTATGCATGTACATGTATAAGGGCTCCTCTCCTTTTTTTGCAAACGGATGCAATTTGGGTACTGTGACATTACATATATACAAGTTCAATTTTATAGTTGTTAAATGCAATAAAAAGAAGCATAAACAACATGAACAAGTCTGTGTCTAGTAAATTTTTTTTAATGTTTCAACCCCTGATTAGCTGAACACGTACAGTTATTGCTTAGGCGAAGGTTTTTTTATTTGTTTGTTCTACTGATCTGCTGACCCATATTTTTCCACTTTTGTGATAAAAATAAAATTAATATTTCAAGTTTTTTAGGCAGTTAAGCTGCCTTATGCGAGCACCCTAGATTTGTGTTCTACCCAATAAATGCTGAAATACGTGCCATTGTTATTATCTAGCTGGCTATTATGTTATTTATAACTATTTGGACATTTTTTTAATACTTTTATTTCTGGAATACAAAAAAAATGACAAGAAAAACCTTAAATGATCGTCGAACTACCCAAAACTTTTGAAGTTGCACATAGGAAGTAGTGCTCAATAGAAATCCGTACGTAGCTTATTATCCCCTGTGCTTTTGGCTACGATGTCAAAGAACAATTGTATGAAATATTTCATCGCCGAAAATCGGTAATTACAAGTCGTTTATATTTCCCAAATGGCAAAATGCGCAGAAATATTGTTCATGTACAACAAATCTCTATGATAGAGGAAATAAAGTTATATAAGTGGGCGGTAATTTTTAACTTATCTTGCCAAATAAGGTTGTTGTTATTTTATGAATGAAACGAACTACGAAGTCATGAAACAGATGCGGAAATCGTCGTTGATGGGATGTTTTACGTAATGTGGACAACTCGTCCCCAAGACAAGTCGGACCAAATCCACTCAAACCATCCAAGAAGACAACTTTGACCGTTTGTCAGATTTACTTAGGGTTTCATAAAATATTAGACTAACATGTCTAGCCGAGCCATTAATCTTTTGTTTGTGCATTGGGGTCTATTTAGGGGTATTTGGAGGGGCCTGAAGAAGGGAAGGGTTTACTATAGAGCCCTATGGGATTTGATTTTTTTAAATTTTCAAATGACTATTTCTCGAAAACAGTAAGTGATAGACACATGCAGTCTTCAGTAATGAGAACAGGACAATAAAAAAAATCAACCAAAATATAGGGCGAGTCCCTGGGGGTCATCCAAACCCCCTTCAATTTGAAAATGTACTTTTATCTTGTAAACCGTCGCAATCCCCACCCCTAAACAATATATATACTTGTATGGGACAATAAAAGAAATCAAATGAAAATAATTTGGGGGAGTCCACGGTGTCGTCCCACCCCCTCCTGTTTGAGAACTTGGAAATGGTCGAGATCCCCACCCCTAAACCATATATATTCATGTATGGGACAATAACACAAATCAAATGAAATATAGGGGGAGTCCCTGGTGTCACCCCACCCCCTTCTGTTTGAGAACTTGTAAACAGTCGAGATCCCCACCCCTAAACCATATACATTCATGTATGGGACAATAAAACAAATCAAATGAAATATAGGGGGAGTCCCTGGGGACACCCCATCTCCTCCTGTTTGAGAACTTGTAAACAGTCAAGATCCCCACCCCTAAACCATATATATTCATGTATGGGACAATATAACAAATCAAATGAAATATATGGGGAGTTCCTAGGGTCATCTACCCCCTCCTGTTTGAGAACTTGGAAATGGTCGAGATCCCCACCCCTAAACCATATATATTCATGTATGGGACCATAAAACAAATCAAATGAAATATAGGGGGAGTCCATGGGGACACCCCACCCCCTCTTGTTTGAGAACTTGTAAACAGTCAAGATCCCCACCCCTAAACCATATATATTCATGTATGGGACAATATAACAAAACAAATGAAATATTTGGGGAGTCCCTGGGGTCACCCCACCCCTCCTATTTGAGAACTTGGAAATGGTTGAGATCCCCACCCCTAAACCATTTGTATTCATGTATGGGACAATATAACAAATCAAATGAAATATAGGGGGAGTCCCTGGGGTCACCCCACCCCCTCCTGTTTGAGAAATTGTAAACGGTCGAGATACCCACACCTAAACCATATTTATTCCTGTTCATCATTTCAAAAAGATTTGAATGACATACAGGGTCAATCTCCTAGGTGTCACATATGCATATCACTTTACTAAACCAAACCAATATGAACATGACTTTGCCCAATGTCAGGAGACCATGGGAATGACGAATTGTGGGGGCTTTGTTTGGGAGACTTCGTAACCCATCCTGTTACAATTATTTCTTGTTTATTATAAAATTTTATTGATGCAAAAAATGAGTCTAGGTTAATTGAATTTACTTTAATTATTTAATAAATTATTTCTGGGTCTATAATAATTTTCATTTATGGCTCATTTTAAAGAAAATATATAAATCTTTCAAGCAGTGTAAAGCCCGAGAATGTTTGACCAACTGTTTTATAATCACCTGTCATTTTATTCCAAACTTGGTATGGAGTAACATCATGCACTTGGGGGTGATGATGGGGGTCATTTACATTGCTATATGAGTTGCTTTTGAAAACCTTGATGAAATATTAATTAATTTGCCTTAATAATCAATTCATTTAATGAACATAAATGTACAATTTACGAATGTTTAATGTTTGTTCTTTCAAATCTTAAAAAAAATTGAAGCAACACTGCCACAGTTTTCATAATTACGTTTGCCTTGGTTTTTGGTTAACTGCCTACAGTGCTTACAGTGCTTTGATTTTATTCCTGCTGACCCTAACAAATACATTAACCCTGAAATATAGATAAAAATGTCTGCTTATCATGCTTATCAGCGTTTTCATGAAAGTAAAATACATTTTTTAGCATGTTTAACATTAACAGAAATTATTACACATATTGACATCATGATATTGTGTTTTAAAAGATGAAAATCTAAAAATAATCCGTAGTTTGTGTTTCTCGAAATAAGACAATCGTAATTGACCTTGACATTTTGTTTGCGGAATGAAACCTATGTTAAAATCCCATTACAAAAATTTATTTTCCTTTTTAATCATAATTCAGAAAAGAAAAATAATTAACATTTTTGTCGAGCCTGCGACTTTTGTCGCAAAAGTGAGACATAGCGATCTTACATTCTGTCGGCGGCGTCCACAAATATTTACCCTGGTTAAAGTTTTTGAAATCTTAATAACTTTCTTAAACTATCCTGCATTTCTACCAAACTTGGACAGGAGCTTGTTTATGATCATAAGATAGTATCCAGAAGTTAATTTTGTTAAAAAAAAAATCCTGTTTATCCGTATTTTACTTACAAATGGACTTGGTTTTTCTGCCAGTTAACATTACATTCACTCTGTGAACATGGAATTTTTGTTTTAATTTTCTCTTTGTGTCTTCCAATGCAACATTTTTTTCATATTTTTTTCTTTGAAACTATGCTTTAACTATGAAATGGTTATCAAAAGTTACATCCTGTACACCACAAATTGTTAAATTTTAGCAATATAAAAATATTTAAGTGAGATGATATGGCATGATTGCCAATGAGGCAACTTTCTACCAGAGACCAAATGACATGTATGTAGAAGATAATAACTATATGTTGTAGGTCACTGTATGGCCTTCAACAATTAGCAAAACCCATACAGCATACATGTAGCAAACTATACAAGGCCCTGATGTCACAAATGTAAAACACATTAAACATATCTATATATATATATATTTCAATTTTATTTTCCTAATTTTTATGGAAGATCAGAATTCAGAGACATGAAATTAAAAGCTGATGTATAAACTCCAACAAACCTGTTTAGCCCAATAAAATTTTAAATTTTGAAGCAAAAATAGTCCACTTGACTGCATTTAATTCCTGTGTGGTCATACATGTAAAACATAACTCATTACTCTAGATCTGTCAGTGTACAATTTTGTGCTCGAATCTCTAAATCCAGTTTATGTATTTTCATTATTTGAATTCTGATTCGGAGTACAATAATCCTAGCCTTACTCAAAATTTTTATGACCACAATGCCTTTATTGGTACATTTAATTTGTAGTCATTATATTCTTCATTGTAAACTTTTAATGTGACTCACATTTTGAGGCAAATTTTGTATAGATTTTATTAGCCTGTAGTCATGGTAGTAAAATTTAGAAATTCTAACAGCCCAAAAAATTAAATTTTACAAGCCTAGGTTAGTGGGCCTGTGGCCAAGAGTAAACTACAGTCAAGAAAATGAATCACTCCCGTATATGATACATGTACCGGTAGTACTGTAACAAAATACAGATTGCTCAACATGAAAAGTCCCCCTTTATAAAATGTGAGAAAAGCAATGTTTACCTCAGTATTTATTTTAATAGTCTTGGTAATATTTACATGTATTATTTTTTCTAGCATTTGGAATCAACAGTATTCTGTATCAAAGAGGAATATATCCACCTGAGACATTTACCCGAGTACAAAAGTATGGACTCACTCTCCTTGTCACTACAGATGATGCACTGAAAAATTATCTGAATGAAGTAATTTCACAAGTAAAAGGTTTGCCAACTAATCTTGATCAAGTTAATGTCTGTTTGCATGAAGGATCAGCCAAAAAGAAGAAAAAAAGGTGTTCATATTCAAAGCACACCGGTATTGTTCTTCATCAGAACTGTGAAGTCCTTCTACAGTACCATGAGTACACACAACATGCTTAAGGTGGTTCTGACAGTGAAAATATTACTCTCTGTGATAGATTTTGAAAACTGTTCATTCAGAAATCATTGCGAGGTTTATATTTATTTAATGTGAATACCTTGACTGGGAGAGTATCGCAATAATAAGATTCAAGAACTCGCATTTGATATTTTATCTGATACATTGATGATTTTCTGGGAATCGCAATAATTAATCTCGCATTTTTGTCCATTCTTCAAAAGTCACAATAATAAATGCATGCAATAATTTCTGAATTTACAGTACATGATGGTGATTCACTTTTAATATACTGGTACATTGAATATTCACAAAACGTAGACAGAAAGAGGGAGGGACTTAATATATTGTATATTTTAGCTCATCTTGTCCTACATTTGTGTGCTATGTGAGCTATTGCCATCACTTGGTGTATGTCCCATTGTGAACTTTTTCAAAAAATCTTCTCCTCTGAAACCACTGGAACAATTTACATCCAACTTGGACCGATGATTATCAGGGCTCTTCCAGAATTAAATGTAAGGCATCTATGGGTGGGTAAAATGGGAGTGTAATTAAACCTAATAAGAGTCAAATTGTTTTTTTTTTTTAATTTGTTTGTGCATGGTGTGATTCCTCCCATTATGTTTATGATTTATTTATCTAAACTTACAAACCAGTGTATATTTCTTGGTACTTTAATTTAGTTTGTTCTACTTAAACTGGAAGTGTAATTCTGCTAGAGTTGCCTCCCATTGCATGCTAAATCTATCACTTCTACTAGTAGAATAGAAAATACATACAAACAGGTCTGAAATGGCATAGAGAGGATGTGGTCACTTTATAGCTGGATCATAATGTCAAGAAAGAAATTCAGATTTTAAATGACTATGGTCAAGATGATAAAAACTAGTTCATGTTTTGGGGTAAGATTGCTGATGCTGCTTATATGAATACCTACTTACCATGCTAACAATGACCTAAATTATAAATGTACATAGCAACTGAAGGAATAGTACAAGCCAGGGGTCAAATTTCTGAGATTTAATAATATATGTAATGATATTTTCAGTAGTAGAGAATTGATAAGAAGTAGTGGATTCGTAAACGATAATCAACGAGCGACTTTAGTCGCAAGTTGATTATCGTTTCCGAATCCACTACTTCTTATCAATTCTCTAGCTTAACCCATTTCTATTAAAACGACTGTCTGTTTTACGTTTTGACAATGAATCAACGATATTTCATAAAAATAGTTTAGTATTTTGTCTTTTTTATTCTATAATAGCTGGAAATGATTATATCTACACGGTTCGCATCTATAATTAGACATTTGACAAGTTAACATAAGTTTAAGATAACTTAAATGGGGTGTTAGCTCCCCTTTTTAACACCAGATTTTATTTTTGTATATACATATTTCATTTAATGTTTAATCAGTACAAATTATTGAAATTGAATAGATTTTGGTATATTCAATTTATTCAAAAAGACATATATTAACATGATTAATATACAGAATTTATTTATCTTGTTTTGAAAAGTTAAAAAATTTTAATTACCAAAATTTAGAACCTTCAAAATTTATATATATAATATTTAGCAACATATTTTGGTTAATTGAAGACTGAACACCGTTAAGCTGTTCTTAGTCAAAAAAATATTGATAAGGTAGATGCCATAAATCTGCCATTTCATAATGCTCAAATTCATGTTGCTTTCCTAAAGTATTAAAATTACGATTGTGCTTACAATTTAAATTGAACAATTATATTCAAATCTGTTTAAACTGTTTCCGTTTATAATAATAATAATAATAATAAATTCTTTATTTAAAGAGGGTAAACTCAGTTAGTTACAATAAACTAATCTTCCCTGAGGCCCTCACATACAAATTACAATACAATCAAAAAACAGATATTTACACATAGTTAATTTACAGTCAATTAGTTCAATGTAATATTACTAACATGATAAGATATAAGGCTGTTCAAGATGTACATGTAGTCAAAAAATCAAATACAAATATAAATAAAAGAATATACAAATACATTGTAGAAAACATAATCTTATCAGGACTGTGTTAAGTACTTCTTGATACTTTGTTTAAAAGTATAAGTGTTTTGAGCTTTACGCATTTTGTTTGGTAGTCCATTCCATAACACTGATCCAGAATAAACAAAAGATTTCTTAAATAGCTCAGCTTTTGGCTTAGGAACTATCAGATTACCTTGAGTGACGCCTCTCAGGGAGTAAGGATTATTATCTGATTTCAGTTTAAACTTTTGAACTAGGTACATTGGTGCTTCCATACGCATACATTTATATAGAAGTAAATATTTGTGGTATTTTATTCTATTGTCAACTGTCATCCACCCAAGTTCTTTAAATAAGGGGGCTGAGGGGGATAAAGGAACTGCATCTAGAATTAATCTTGCTGCCCTTTTTTGGAGTTTTAAAATTCTTGCTATCCCTTCATTTTTACATTCACCCCAAATAATACAGCAGTAGTCAATCAGGGGCAGAATATACCCATTGTAATATGTTTTCCTTGCATTTATATCTAAAAATTTCTTTATTTTAGAAAGGAGGTATATTCTGGATGATATATTAGCACAAACTTGGTCAATTTGATTTCTCCAGTTAAGTGTGCTGTCAATTTTAACACCTAATAATTTTTCACATGAAGAATTTTGCAATACTTTTGAATCTATTATTAAGTTTGGTTGATAAGTCTGAATTGATAGTTTCTGCTTTGTTCCAGTAACCAAACATTTTGTTTTATTTGCATTAATGAACATGTTATTCATTTTGCACCACTCTTCAACCCTGTATAAATCTTCTTGAACATCATCATGTATATTTTCTATGTTTTTCCCTGATTTATGAAGAGTGGTGTCATCAGCATATAGGTCTGTTTCACAATTTTCAATGCATAAGGGAAGGTCGTTTATAAATAGCACAAACAATAGAGGACCAAGTATAGAACCTTGGGGGACACCAAATTTTACATGTTGTTGTTCAGAGTAAACATTACAAATGTTTACCTGCTGTTTTCTGTTATTCAGGTATGACTTGAAAAAACTAACAGTAGCCTCACTAAATCCATAAATTTCAAGCTTTAAACAAAGAATGTCATGATCTACCAAATCAAAAGCTTTTTTAAAATCTAATAAAATTGCTAGGTTTAAATTACCATCATTCATTTCTTGCAACCATTTGTCAATGATATTAATAAGTGCAGTTTGACAAGAATGCTGCAGCCTGAAACCAGATTGTGTAGGGTGTAAAAGTTTAAGTTTAGATAAGTATTTGTACATGTTATTAGAAACATGCCTCTCTATTAATTTTGATAAAGTTGGAAGAACAGATATAGGTCTGTAATTTGTTGCTAAAAGCTTGTCACCATCCTTGAAAACTGGTGTTACCTTAGCATTCTTCAGTAAAGAAGGATATATACCAGTATCTATCATTCTGTTAAATATGTATGTGAGAGGTGATGCAATAACAGGGGCGCTTAATCTTAGGATTTTTGGTCCTATATTATCCATACCAGATGCTTTGTTTATATCAAGTTTTGTTAACTCATTAAATAGCTCATTCATGATCACTGGTGGTATAGAAAATTTATCATGTTTATGTAATTTATTTTTAACAAATTTACCAAGATTACTGAAATCTGCTTTGTTTACAGGTGTATAACTTCCTTGTTCTCTTAATTTTTCAGCACAGGAAGTGAAAAAGTTATTAAAAGTTTCTGCTATTGATTTTTTACTTTTAGTTGTATTGTTATCTTCTGTGGCTAATTCATATGGTGTATTTTTAACTTTTGGGTTCAGACTGTGAAGACATTTCCATAAAGTTTTAGGGTCATTGGAGTCTTTTACCATATTTTTATAATAATTCTTTTTTGAGCTATCTATGATATGTTTAGTTTTATTTCTCCAAAATCTATACTCACTCCATAAACCAAGTGCATTATATTTATCTCTCATATTCCTAGCGTAAATGATTTCACTGTTATACCATTCAGGCTGTCTGTCCCTTTTTACTCTCTTTTTAACAACAGGAGCATGTTTATCTAAAGCTTTGTTCAACATATCATAAAACAATTGTAGACAGTCACAGGGGTTTTCTTCAAATTCAATTTTATGAAAAGGTGTAGTTTGCAGATCTAATAAAAATTCATCTTGGTTGAAATTTTTGAAATTTCTATAAGTAATTGTACTGTGTGTATTCTTTTTTCCTATATTTGCTTCTTTCCTTGTTAAACAGATAGGGTAATGGTCACTAATTGCATATCTACACACATGTGATTCATGTACCATAACCATGTTTCATTAAGTTACGATTATTTTAACGTTATAATTTCATTTGGCATATATCGTTCATCGGTAAATAAACTAGTTTAATCTGAGGTACGCATTCTGAATCCCCATCAGAATTGCTCTTGCTACGGATGTACAATGAATAATTATCTTGATTTCATAAACTTACCATCAAGCTGTTCATAGCTGTGATCGTCTAGTCGTTGGTAACGAATGTCATAACGGTGATATTAACAGTGCAAAGTTCGAACCTTGTATCCGGAATGAAATTTTTTCATTGTAATTTTTTTCTCGATAAAAATAGTTTTAATCTTAGAGGTATCATATACTTCATTTTCATGTAAAGGCGATGATTTTGTTTCTGGTTTAACAGTCAAAGAAGTAGTTTTACGGTCGTAGCTTATATATCACACTTAGAGTCCGTTCAATGTTAACGTGATATAAATAAATTTGAAAAGAACATGAACAAATCCAGACATAGTATATATATTTTGTTACATAACAAAAGCGAATTATCTCTGAGATAGAAATACAGTT